CATACATTTCAACCACTGTTTGAACTAACCGGACGGAATTAATGCAAACACAATGGATTTCATATAAAGAGGTCAAAATTCATTACATTTCCAACATAGGTCAACTAAAAGCGGAGCTCGTCCGACTCTGAAGGTATAATTTTGAACGTACTTCAACTAATCGACTAGTCTAATGCCGGCGTGACAGATCTCCATTCTCATGACATTCCCTGTTTGCAAACTTTTAGAATCCTCAAATTCTAAAAGTAAAAAAAATTTATGCTCAAATTTCAGTTTTTTTTTAATTTTTGTTAAATCTGGTCAAACTATGGTCAAACTACTTATTCAAGAAGTATTAGTGTTACTAAATAATTATTCAATAATATTAGTGTTACTAAATAATTATTTCAGTTTTTTTGAATTTTGGTCAAATCTGGTCTGTCATGTTTGCCGACGCCCGGCGTCGAGCTGCCGTAGTATTTCCGGCGACTGGCGACGGGACGACGAACGACGATGAAGGGAAGCACTTGTAGCTTATTGCTAACAATCGATCCGCAACTAGCTTCTGGCTAACAATCAATCCTTTCCTGGTCGTACGTGGACGTGTAGTGCTAGGACTTGTAGCCGTAACAGGACACACATGTATACAATTACAACAGCCGATCAATCTATACTTTGATTGATTCAGCGCCCAGCACCGCCCGCGGACTCTGATTGTTTGATGGCTACAACTGTATATCTAATTATGGCGTGTCTGCAATGTCGCAAAGTGTTGTATCTAATTAAGGATAGTTATTGGAATTGTAACAGGTTTCTTAGATTTGGACAGTCTGCCATGTGGCATGGCTCGAGCGATGAGGGCATCTCAGGTGCTCACCGACAAATTTGCTCCGGCATCTGTCCACGAACAAAGGAGACCCGTCCAAGGATACTGATGCGGGAGCTGTCCATCCAACAGAACCCGCATAAATTTCAATCACTGTTTGAACTAACCGGACGGAATTAATGCAAACACAACGGATTTCATATAAAGAGGACGAAATTCATTACATTTCCGACATACTGCAACTAAAAGCGGAGCTCGTCCGACTCTGGAGGTATAATTTAGAACATACTTCAACTAATCGACTAGTCTAATGTCGGCGCGGCAGATCTCCATTCCTAATACATCCCTGTTTGTAAATTTTTAGAATCCTCAAATTCTAAAAGGAAAAGAAGTTATGCTCAAATTTCAATTTTTTTTGAATTTTTTTATTTTTTATTAAATCTGGTCAAACTATGGACAAAGTACTTCTTCAAGAAGTATTAGTGTTACTAAATAATTATTCAAGAATATTAGTGTTACTAAATAATTATTTCAGTTTTTTTGGATTTTTGTCAAATCTGGTCTGTCATGTTTGCCGACGCCCGGCGTTGAGCTGCTGTAGTACTTCCGGCGACTGGCGACGGGACGACAAACGACGATGAAGGGAAGCACTTGTCGCTTCTTGCTAACCATCGATCCGCAACTAGCTTCTGGCTAACAATCGATCCTTCCCTGGACGTACATGGACGTGTAGTGCTAGGACTTGTAGCCGGAACAGGACACACACGTATACAATTACTACCAGCCGATCAATCTATACTTTGATCGATTCAGCGCCCAACACCGCACGTGGACTCTGATTGTTTGATGGCTACAATTGTATATCTAATTAAGGCGTGTCTGCAATGTCGCAAAGTGTTGTATCTAATTAAGGATAGTTATTGGAATTGTAACAGGTTTCTTAGATTTGGACAGCCTGCCATGTGGAATGGCTCGAGCGATGAGGGCATCTCAGGTGCTAACCGAGAAATTTGCTCCGGCATCTGTCCAGGAACAGAGGAGACCCGTCCAAGGATACTGATGCGGGAGATGTCCATTCAACAGAACCCACATACATTTCAACCATTGTTTGAACTAACCGGACGGAATTAATGCAAACACAACGGATTTTATATAAACAGGACGAAATTTCATTACATTTCCGACATACTTCAACTAAAAGCGGAGCTCGTCCGACTCTGGAGGTATAATTTAGAACATACTTCAACTAATCGACTAGTCTAATGCCGGCGCGGCAGATCTCCATTCCCATGACATTCCTGTTTGCAAATTTTTAGAATCCTCAAATTCTAAAAGGAAAAAAAAGTTATGCTCAAATTTCAGTTTTTCTATTTTTTTTATTTTTGTTAAATCTGGTCAAACTATGGTCAAACTACTTATTCAAGAAGTATTAGTGTTACTAAATAATTATTCAAGAATATTAGTGTTAATAAATAATTATTTCAGTTTTTTTGAATTTTGGGGTCAAACTGTGGTCAAACAATTGTCAAACTACTTATTCAAGAAATATTAGTGTTACTAAATAATTATTTCAGTGTTTTTGAATTTTGGTCAAATCTGGTCAAACTGTTGTCAAACTGTGGTCAAACTATGGTCAAACTGTGGTCAATTTATGGTCAAGCTACTTATTCAAGAAATATTAGTGTTACTAAATAATTATTGTTTTCTAGAACAATAATTTCAAACTGAAACAGTGAAATGTGTGACTTCATGCTCAAGCTAAATTCATGAGGGTTAGTAGGATTGACATCTTACTATTGTCAGGAAAACAACAAATGCAGACTTGGAAACGAGGGAGAATAGAACTCGGAAGTTAAGCGTGCTCAGGCTGAAGTAGTGAGATGGGTGACCATCCGGGAAGTTAGATGATTTGGAATGATGAGGGGTGATTAGAGATTAGTGGTTAAATTGAGCAGTGATGAGGGTGATTAGAGATTAGAGGTTAAAATAATTCAGAAATTTGAAAAAAAATAAAAAAAAATTAAAAAAGAAAATTTTCAAAAAAAATCACAAAATTTCCTTTAGTACCGGTTGGTGCTACCAACCGGTTTAAAGGTGGACCTCCAGGCAGCGGCCACGTGGACAGCCTTTAGTCCCGGTTCGTGTAAGAACCGGGACTAAAGGGGGAGGCTTTAGTAACGACCCTTTAGTCCCGGTTCCAGAACCGGGACTAAAGGCCCTTATGAACCGGGACAATAGGCCCTATTTATACTAGTGTGTCCATGCAATCTTATGGAGCAATAAAACATAAGTAAACAATTTACGCTGGGTGACCGGCTTAAGGCCCACCCTACCACCCACGTCCTGTTTTACCTTATTCCCTTACGCGTCTTCCACCTCCCGCAAGCACCATTCCCTCTTTCCTCTTTGCCACCACCCCTCCTCCCCACACAAGAGGGGCCATGCCATTGTTGCCGCACACATCTTGTCCCTGATCGACAGTGAGGCCGTTGGCATCGCGCTCCTTCCCCCACAGCGCCGCCGGATGCCGCGCTGCGAGGAGCTTTTTTCCTTGAAGAACAAGAGCATCGTCCAAAGCTTGTAGTCCCATCTAATTGAATCAAAAGCCTTGCAAATGTCCAGCATGAAAAGCAAGGTTACCTTTTATTTTCATGGAGGCAACAGGCAAAATTTCTGACGTACATGATGTTAACGTGGATACTTCTCTTCTTTATGAATGCACTTTGGGCATTGGAAGCGATGTTTTTCATGAAAGGAGCTAGCAGACTGGAACGCACTTTGGCAATGATTTTCATAGTGGTGTGTATGAGACTTATAGGGTGGTAGTCCAAAATCTCCTCACCTCAGCCTCATCTTTCTTGGGCAGAAGAGCAATGCTTGCATGGTTGAGCTAGCGGAAGCTCTTTGAATGCAAGTCGCCAAAAAGGCGAACGATGGCTGGTTCCTCGCCGCTAGGTAGCGGAACCGGTAGAAAGCTCTTTTGTGGTGCTATGATACGAATCCAACACAATTATATTTCTCTACTAAAAGAGCACGTGTACATGCTCTTTCACTCTCCAAAAATGCATCTGTGTAGAGAAATAGCTACCGCATAGCACCACAGTGTCCGTGCGTCAGCCAGTAGTTGAGAGGAACTCCTGCCGACCAACAGCAGTTCCTTCTCAAACGACGTCGAGCGGATGTGCGGCTTGGTCGAAATCGACAAATAACTAGGTAGCCTCATAGGCAGTTTGGTCCTTTTCGGTGTCTGTAAATGGAATGGAAAAAAAGGACAAGGAAATCGGTAAAAGAGGGAAAATGGCATGTTAATCAAGGTGTTCACCAGCTGGGTCTGGGTGGTAATTTTTCTTAGTATGTCTTAATAGTGGCAATGTTGCAAAGCCAGATGTTCAGCGTCAAATATCCAAATTTCTCAAGTAAGAGGGGACTGCTGACCAGACCTCGGAGTACATGCTGAAGAAAGCAGGCTCCATTTTGGATATTATTGTTTTTTTTCTTTTCTTAATTTGAGCCTTTTTGTTATTTCAGGCGAAGAATCTGTTAGAAAGTTATTAAAATATTCCAATCAAATTGTGTTTATGTTTTATGTTTCTATGAACTTAACCTAAAATTTGGTTCGCAAAATTGACAAGTTTTATCTTTCAACACCAACCAAAAAGATGACAGCGTATCCAACAAAGAGCATTTGAAATCTATGGCTAGGTACACTTACATGATCAACGCAACCCCTTTCACTTGTTACAAAGAGCATTTGAAACCCTGAGCAGTTTTGGTCCATGACACGATTTAAAAGCAGCGAACAATAAATATTGCATCAGTCAGCAGAACCAAATGATCATTTAGTACTTCAGACACAACTTCACGGCGGTGTCACAATTTTCATAGCATCAAACATTTGATCCGGCGCCTCCCAAATCAGTAAAACATTCCTTACATGAACTGGAAAACCTAAACAGAGTGCACTTCATCGAAACAACTACGAAACAGAGTCTGAGATCATAAAGCCTCTTAGCATATACTTCCTTCGTTCCTAAATATAAGTCGTCTTAGAGATTTCAATAAGAACTACATACAGATCTATATAGACATATTTTAGAGTGTACATTCACTCATTTTGCTCCTTATGTAGTCCCAATTGGGATCTCTAAAAAGACTTATATTTAGGAACGGAGGGCGCTCAACTTTACCACTTCAATCATACACCGCGTACTGGTTTCAGACGTATGGGTTCACGCACCTTTACTTTAGGATTAGGATCATCAATGAAGAACGTAAGCAAGGTACCCTTTCCATCATCAGTTATCTCATCCTTGGGCAGAATTAAGTTGTATCCCTTTGGTAGCCCATCAAATAACGATGAGCTTCGTATCTCGTAAACTGATCTCTGGTAATAGTCGTTCAAAAAGGAACCATAGGACATCCTACACTTGAACTTGGAGTTTATAGCTTTAGGTTGGATGCAGACGACAGAGATGGCATGCCCGTACAGCTCTAGTGCCACGTTGAGCAGGAAAATTTCTCTGTCTTTGGTACGAAGAAAATGTAGACCTGGTTCTAGGCAGAGCTCAACATCTTCGGAGTACTTGATGGTTGTACACGGCCACTTGTGCTCGGAGGCGGAATGTTCAAGGAGGGCGTCTATTGCCCCAGCAAAGCTGCAGCTGGACGCCGGGCAGAAACATGGGGCGCGCGGGCATGCCTTCTCGTGCTCTTCTTTCTGGTAGTAAGTGAGCTTCTGGGTGCATCCATAATTGGCATTGGAGCAAAGAACCATGACTGATTCCATCAGATGTTCCATCCCAGCACCCGCGCTTGAAGGTAGTTTCGGCAGAGCATAAGTGACACTTGTTGCGCACGAGCTTCGGAAGGCAAGACGAGCATATGAAATGCCCCACAGAACACTGTGGAAAAGGAAGAATTAGCCGGATCCTCATGCGAGAAAAACTTTTTAACAGAAATCAGAGTTGAACTGTTGAGTACTCTACTACAATAGCAACATGATAAGTCAGTACCACACAAAATTACGCAACTATACCATGAGTCTGTAAATTTGAAGTTGTAACTTATAGTATGACCGACATACAACTCCAAAGGGGGGCAAACCAAACATAATGCTATTAGAGAGGTATATATATCATCCACCCCTGATCCATAGCCTACTAGGGAAGAGCTGTGGACTAGAAAACGGTGTACAGAGTTGCAAACAGTTTCAGTCTCAGATCAAAATGTTAGTGTCCTGATTAATTCTCTACGAAAACGAAATTTCAGCGACCATAGTTATTCCGATCCATGTTGTCTCAATAAAACTGTTTTTAGCAAGTAGCATTGTGTGTGCGGGGTGCGCCCCTGATTAATATCCTACTACTAGGGAACAGCTGTAGACTAATAAACAGTGTAGATTAGTGCTAGCAGTTTCGGTCTCGACCAAAATACTAGTGTCCTAATTCTCTACGGAAACAAAATTTCAGCAACCATATCTACTCCGTTCCATGCTGTCACAAGACACTTGTTTTTAGCAAGTAGGAGTACTATCATTATATCCAATGGTTACTTTTTAATTTCATCTGAACTTTGAGAGACAGGTAAGCACATGTAAGTACCTGGTATATAGGAGGTCCGAGCGTATGAAAGCAGACGGGGCAGTCGAGGGTGTCCATCCCCATGCTGATATTCTGCCTCTTGCCGATGCCGCTGCTCTGTCCCTCTGCCGGGGCTTCTACTCGTCTCTTGCTAGAAGTGCCACCGTTCATCGCCACCAAAACTCACTCGATGTTACAATTAAACGTGCAACAGAGCTTCACACCTACTCCCTCCGTTTCAAAATAGATGACCCAACTTTATACTAACTTTGTACTAATTTTGGAACGGAGAGAGTATTGGTCAACACAAACAGCCTCAGAAATCTGCTTCCCTGTTCCACAACATATACTGGTAATAAGAGCCACTCAAGTTATACTGGTGTACAAAAATGCTTCATGTGTTTCTGCCAGACTGGTAACGGAAAGGCGACACTCCGGACTGGAGCACGCATTAGAGATGTGCTAAATCTAATCATCCTGAATTGCTGTAATTTGTTCATGTCTTTATTTTTGTTTTCTGTTTTGGTTGAGAAATAGCTAGGCTGCTTTGTGTTAATTTATTTCTGGATCAATTCAGTAGAGGACCAGTTACTACATGCAACTGGAGATAATGTCAAGAAGAAGCAGTCCAAAGGTAAGAAATTTACCTTGAATAACCGCCGACAGGAGCCCGAGGTCACCGTTGGCGATGAGGCCAACTTCTCGCCGGCGACGCCGACTCCTGGCTGCTCCTCGGAGGCGACAGGGCCCAAGCGGGCTCTGCTCTGAGCCGGAGGAGAGCACCGGAGAGGGGCAGAGATTTTTTTTTTTTGAGACAATCACGCGAAGCTTTATTTAACTTGTGCCAATGTTCAAAGGTACAAAAGAAAGATTACCAGGATTGCCTAACCACACATGGCGGCCAACCCCCAAATTCAAACTATGCTTCGCTAGATTGTGAGCCTCGAAATTCGAGCTCCTAAACTCATGCACAAAGGTACATGAAATAAAAGTGGAACTATGGTCTATGATTTCATGCAGAATAGCTCCATAGATAGCCGGTGTTTTGTTCTTGATGTCGTCCAGTACAACTTTGCAGTCAGTAGCGACATGTATTCTGCGACTATTAAGATCATCGGCAAGCGCCAAAGCCTCTCTGACTGCTAATGCTTCGAGCGTTAGTGGATCATTGGTTCCCTTGATAACCAGAGCCGAAGCACCTTGAAAAATGCCAGCTTGATCTCGACAGATAGCAGCAGCAACTCCTCGGTTGGTTGCGGTCGCCGCATCCACATTGATCTTCGCATACATGTCCGGTGGTGCAATCCAGTGGCTAGGTCTCGCCGCTTGATGTTGTTCCTGACCACTGCCCACAGCAGCGATAGTTTGCAGGTCCACTATGTATGACTTGATGAACTGGTTAGTTCCTTCAGGACTCTGAAAAACCCCTTCATATATCGCCTTACGTCGTGCTCTCCATGTGGCCCAAAGGGTGACCACCAACAGAACGAACCTCTCGTGCGTTAATTGATCATGCATTTCCAGCAGCCAGTGTTTCGCGTTTGGATTCGTGTTCATACTCAAATGTTGCACCAATTCATCCTCAGAGAGCGCCCACACACACCTTGACATCGTGCACTCCAAGAGTGCATGTCTCCATGAGTCTTCCCTCCCGCATAGCAAACACCGATGAGTATCTGACATGTGCCGGTGATGCAATACGTCCATCGTCGGCATAGTGTGCCTCGCCAGCCGCCACAGGAAGACCCTTAGTTTGGATGGCACCTTTATATTCCACAATGTCGACCAGTCCCTTCGGTTAGCATTCAGTGAGGAGCCGCCCGGGGTCCGTTCCAGCCAGTCCCCTCGTTCCTCCTTCCTGGACATTACCATCCGGTAAGCTGAACTAACAGAAAATCTGCTGCTCCTCTCGGCGGACCAAGCCCAAAAATCCTCTATCGCCCTAGTGCATATCGGTATGGACAAGATGGGTTCAGCGTCGAAACGCACGAAGGTGTTACGGATCAGTTCCTCTTTCCACGACGCTGTGGTCGAATCAATAAGCTCCGCTACCATCACAGGCGGGTTAGGAGTGAGAGCTGTGATCGGTCTGAAAGGTCCAGTCCTCTGTAACCAGTTATCTCTCCAAATGTTCGTTGTTTGCCCATTGCCAATACGCTTAATAATGCCTTGCTTCAGAATGTCTCTCCCATAAAGAACAGCCCTCCAAATCTGAGAGGGGTGATGGCCTAGTTCTGCCTCCAGAAAGCTTGTGTTCGGGAAATATGCAGCCTTCAATATCCTTGCACTAAGTGAGTTTGAATCTTCCAGTACTCTCCATGCCTGGCGAGCCAACAAAGCAAGGTTAAAAATCTCCATATCCCTAAACCCCATGCCTCCAAGGTACTTTGGTTTCGTCATGACGTCCCAAGATACCCATGCGGGCTTCCTCCTTCCTTGTTTGCTCCCCCACCAGAACTGCCTTATAATGGATTCAATGTTTTCACAAAGGCCTCTGGGTAACCGAAAGCACGCCATTGAAAATACTGGGATTGCTTGAGCCACTGATTTGATGAGCACTTCTTTCCCTCCAACTGAAAGAAGTTTTTCCATCCATCCTCTCACCTTCTCCCAAATTCTATCTCTCAAATACTTGAAAGTACCCTTTTTAGATTGGCCAACTTCCGTGGGCATCCCCAAGTATCTTTCACTCAAAGATTCATTTGTTACATTCAAAATCTGTTTGACCTCATTTCTCACCTCATTTGGGCACTTCTTGCTGAAAAAGATTGAAGATTTTGCATTGTTTATCTTCTGACCCGACGCTTTACAGTATATCTCCAATAAAGCTGAGACCCTCGCAGCCCCCTCAACACTTGACATGAAAAACAACAGGCTATCGTCAGCAAAAAGGAGATGGTTGACCGCCGGAGCTGTCGGAGCCACCTTGATCCCTTGAAGACTAGACGACTGAGAACTGGATCTTAAAAGGCACGAAAGGCCCTCTGCTGCAATCAAGAAAATATAGGGGGAGATTGGATCTCCCTGACGGATGCCTCTGGTAGGAGTAAAATGTTCAAGCTTCTCTCCATTGAAGAGGACTGAAAATGATATAGACTGAACCATATCAATCACTATATTAACCCAGGAGTGTGCAAATCCCAGCTTCTCCATCATGGCTCGAAGATATGGCCACTCCAGTCTGTCATAAGCTTTCATCATGTCTAATTTTAGTGCACAAAAACTATTGGTTTTTGCTCTGCTTCTTTTCATGAAGTGCAAACACTCATATGCACAAATGATATTATCTGTAATCAACCTGCCTGGAACGAAAGCTGACTGTTCCTGAGATATGATGTCTGGGAGGATCACTTTGAGCCTATTTGCAACAACCTTGGAGGCAATTTTGTAGATTACATTGCACAAACTTATAGGCCGGAACTAAGAAAGTAAGGTAGGATTCATTACCTTCGGGATGAGAACCAAAACGGTGTCATTTATAGATGCAGCACTTTCCTCCCCTCTGATAATCCTCAGGACAGCCTTGGTAACTTCATCCCCACATATATCCCAATGCCTTTGATAGAAGTGGGCGGGGAACCCATCCGGTCCGGTGCCTTTGTCGGGAACATTTGAAAGAGGGCTGTCTTGACCTCTTCATTTGTGTAAGGTGCCAGAAGAGCGGCATTCATCTGCTCTGTAACCTTCACCGGTACCTTATCAAGTACCTCCTCTATGCCACTCACCCCTTCTGATAGATACAAGTTCTTATAGAAGTCTGTCACCATGACTTTGAGTTCATTCTGGTTCTCTGTCATCACACCCAGGGATGCCAAGGCCTTAATCATATTTCTCCTCGTCCTCTCACTTGCCCGAAGGTGAAAGAAGCGTGTATTTCTGTCTCCCGCCGACAGCCACTCCAGCCTCGAGCGTTGCCTCCACATTATTTCCTCCCTGTGATATAACTCAATCAAATTCCATTGATCTTCAATTCAATACGTGATGGCGCTGTTCTAGCCGGATCGCTCCGCAGGCGTTCTAGTTCCAGCTTTAAACTTTCTATCTCCTTCCGTACTGAGCCGAAAGTATGCTTATTCCAGGTTCCTAGCTGTACCGAAACTCTTTTCAACTTTGCTCTTAGATCTGCCATGCACTCCACCGGATCTCCTGCCCAGCTAGCAGCAATTGTATCTCTCCACGTCTCATGAGTTTCCCACATAAGTTCATACTTAAAGCCATTCTTGTGCTTAGGTGCCCTCCCTTGAAACTCTAGCAAGATGGGACAGTGATCCGAGGTCGCTGCTGTTAGATGTTTAACTTGTGCATTTGGGAAACGTTCGCTCCATTCCGCGGAAGCCAGAGAACGGTCCAAGCGTACCCGTGTGTAACTGCCACCATTAACCTTTTTTTCAAAGGTCCAGAATTGGCCTAGATAGCCTATGTCCATCAGCATGCATACGTCTATGGCATCCCGGAACCCCTGGATTTGGGCATTGCTCCTCTCCCCAATGCCTTGTTGCTCCTCCGGACGTAGTACCTCGTTAAAATCCCCTATACAGACCCATGGAAGGTTACTCAAAGTACTGATCCCCTTCAAAATATCCCATGATTGATATCTCAAATGAGTCTGCGCCTCTCCGTAAAAAAGTGTCAACCTCCACGGGTCACAACCCGGTTCCTCAACTGAACAATCAATATGATACACATAGAAGCCCAAAATCTCAATTTTTATTGGATTGTTCCAAAACAAACCTAGTCCTCCACTTCTACCCTGACTACTGACCGCATATCCATTATCATATCCGATACTTCCAGCTAGTTTTTCTACCCTCGATCTATCAATCTGGGTCTCAACAATACAAAAAAGGGTAGGGGCAAAATTGTTCGCAATATCGCGAAGTTCTCTAACTGTCGCAGCGTTGCCCGCGCCACGACAGTTCCAGCTTAAGATACTCATTGTGCCCGGCGGTACTCCTCGGAGGAGCCCGCCGATGTTGCATTCATTGTTTTCTCATTACTATCATCTTCCCCGGTCTTCGGTTTTCCAGCAGCTGAGCCATCTTCTCCCAACCCCTTCTTCGAGCGTTTGTTCTCTTTCCTAGGGGACACATACACTGGAGGTGGGGGTGGCACTAAAAGCTGGTCCCCTATGGTTACCACCGCAAGAGCATCTCTCATCTCTCCCGTCTGCA